CTATTCTACATAACAAAGTGGATGCCTATTCTACATAACAATCATCTATCTCCTTCAGGCAGAGCATTTCATTGTCTTTCATTGCTCCACCCATCAAGTTTCAACCAAACTTAGCACACAGACAAACTACAAAGCTACCTATGACCTCTGACAGCAACCAATCAGGATAACCTTCCTGTGCCCCAGAAACTTCAAAGCCCAGAGAGGGCATAAAACCAGAAAAAAAATCATTGTCTCTTCCCTTTTTTGCCCAGGATCTCAAGTCACGTGATCCTGTTCATCAATAAACCTTCTTTCCAAGCAACTTCCATGAATCCAGTATCTTTTTCCTCACTTGGAACTGAACCCAGATGGACATTTCTTCCAACGTGTATAAATACAAATAAATTAAAAGGCCTCCCCTCAGCAGTGCTGGAGATTAGAAAGGTCCTTGAAGAGGCATTGGTAGCAAAAGAATTAACAGCATTGTTTTGGATTATTTTGCAAGATCAGATCAAACTCCATTAATCTTGCAGCTAAATTCCAACAAACCACGGCTTTTAGGAAATTTTCAGGGGAGATATAAAGCAATTGGGCTCATCTACATTGCCTAGTGCTGAAATTAAAGGTACATACAGTCTGAGTAAACAGAATGCCAGCTTTAATAGCAAATAACCACAGTAGCTCTGTATTTCTTTCAATCTTTCACACATCATCTTGGCTCAATTACAGCAATCTTCTGAGTTCACACATCGTACTAAAGTACCTTTGACAAACCTGTGGCTCTATGAATTATGTGCACATAGCCCTTGATGGCTTCCTATCTGACCCACTTCCTGTATTGTATTTGCATTCTGACATCTGCATTTACATTTAAGCATCTGAATAATCTGCACTGGGGCAAATGCTAGTTTGCTACTAACACCTTTCCTACCATTTTCCAGTATTTTTTTTCTTAAGCATGAGGATAAATTTGCACAGCATAAGCAATAGGAATAAGGAGGATTACATAGAATTAGAGATTTAATTATAGATGGAAACCCTGCAAATTCTAAATATATTTTGCAAAAAAAAAAAATTGCCACAAGTACCAACCTGGTTTCAAATGAATCAAACCCAATCAGATCTATTGTAAAGTATCCAGGTGTCTTCAATTAAAAGCCAGAATAGCTTGAAGCATGGTATATATTTACTTCACTTGTATCTCATTAATGTTATGTCAAATACTTATATTAAACGTAACAGCTTCTCTTGAACATGTAAAAATATTTTGAGGAAAATGATGGGTTTTGAACTTCCAGAAACTCACCAGAACTCTTTGGGGCATTAATTTATTTTAAATCTACTTCAGCAATTCATGAAGAATTGACTGAAAGATAATCCATAGGCGGTATTACACTTTGCAAGCATTTTAACATTAATTGTAATATTTCCAGATTGTACTGGAAATTGGCACATATTACTATTTTTGGTATCAATATCTAATTAGTTAGTCCTTGTAGTTGGAAGTTTTTGAAAAAATTGGAAAAGTCACCAATCGTTCGTAACGATTCCTGCTGTTCAGTTATTATTTTTTTTCCTAGCATGTATAAATTAATGCAGTATAAGGAACTGATTCAGTTCCTGTGCTAGCTGCCAAGATGATAGTTTAAAACACCAGAAATGTAACGTTTCCTTGGATGGGGATTATATAAAGGTATGGAAAATTATTTTAGGTCAAAAATAAAGAGCTTTGAAATATTCTAAGAACAAATTCATCCAAATCATAGTAGATTACCTTCATTTGAATAACAGTCATTTTGGCCAGGAAAACTATATATATTTATGCATTTTTCTATCTGATTACATATATGTTTATATGCGCTACCAACTTTTCTTTAATCTTTCTTTTGTAGCCTCAACCTGACATCAAAATGATCTAGGATACGGGTGTCAAACTCACTGTCTCACACTGCCATCATGTGACATTTTGCTGTTTTTTTCCCTTCACAGACCTGGGGTGGGCGTGGCCTGTGCATGATGCATCCAGCCCACGGGCTGCCAATTTGACACCCCTGATCTAGGACAAGGTTTCCCAATCCCTGGCAACTTTAAAACCCATGGTCCCAGAATTCCTCAGTCAGCCATGCGGGGAATTCTGGGAGTTGAAGTCCAGACATCTTAAATTTGCCTAGGTTGGGAAACCTGATCTAGGACAAATTACACAGTGAGAGAAACCTGCAATCCAAAAGCTTCAAGAAGTAGAGAGAAATTACAGAGACAGTCTTATCCATGATGAGAGCAGATATTTTTGTTCCATGCTCTTAATACTAAAACCTGGTGAACTTTTTCCGCACAATACATACAGTAGCTAAAGGATGGAATTGGCTATTGGAAACTGGTGCTACGGGTGTTCCCAGTGAAATCAAAGAAGACATGATAGTGGCTGTGGCTGTGTGGTCAAGAAGAGTCCCCAGGTAAAAAATGTCTTAGCCTCTCTATTTCCTTTACTGTCTGTTGTGACTATAGGAAGCTCATGCCACTAAACTCTCTCCCTTCCTCTCCCTCCCCATGGCTCTAGCTTCAAATGAGCCACCCCCATTTATTTTTACATTTTAATTCAGGGGTCAGCAACCTGTGGCTCTGGAGCCGCATGTGGTTGTTTCATCCCTCTGCTGCGGCTCCCTGTTGCCAATTGCCACCACAATTTTGAGAAGAGATTCTGGTTTGGGGTGGGGGGGGAAGCAGGACATGGCAGGAGGAGACTCTATGGCAAAGGGTGAGTTTTCTGGTCAGCTCTACAATTGATAAGGCTTTCGGTTAGGACAGATAGAGGAAAAAGGACGCCACGCTAGGAGGAGACTCTATGGTGGGGAAACGGGACATCCGGTCAGCTCCAGAATTGAAAGGGGGGCTTCCACTTAGGACCTTTGTGGGTCTCTGTGTGTTTAAGGTTGCCAAGCCCTGCTTTAACCAAAATGAAACCCAACTAGGAACCTGTTGTCTAACAGACTGAGATGCTGTCCAAGGTTACTACTCTCAATATCTTTGGGAAACCCCTTGGATACTTTACTCATTTTGCAAAGGTGACTTCCCAGGAGTATCTGTAAAGGTGGGGGACAAAAATTATGACGGCTGTATAGTCAAAGTTCCGCCCCTTTTATTGATATATATGAAAGGGATATGAGTCATGGTGGCACAGCGGTTAGAATGCAGTACTGAAGGCTAACTCTGCTCACACAACAGGGGTTCGATCCTGACTGGCTCAAGGTTGACTCAGCCTTCCATCTTTCCAAGGTTAGTAAAATGAGGACCCAGATCGCTGGAGGCAATATGCTGAGAGGGATAACTGCTTAGAGAGGGATTTAAAGTATTATGGAGAGGTATATAAGTCTAAGTGCTATTGCTCTGGCTACTATCATGCTGTCATCACAGTTGTCCCCGTCAGCCACCCTAAGGTCCTGTAACCTGTGTATAGGCACTGTAATGATAACTAATTTTTTATGTCCCTTTGAGTCAGTCACTAGTGGCAATAGTGGAGAAATCCATGCAGTTTTCTTGCCAATATTTCAGAAGCGGCTTGTCATTGCTGCCTTTTTGCTAGGATTAAGAGAGGATGATTGACTTACACTTGTGTGTAAAGTAGGAGTAGAACTCCGTCTCCTAGCTTCTGACCTGGCACTTTCAAATACAATACTACACCTAAGTGGCTTCCAAGCAACAAAGTGGGTGGTGTTATGAAAAAGGGAACTGGATAAAATGCTATTAAGGACCACATTAAGGACTTACAACCATTTATTTAGCCACTGTTCAAAGTTATAACAGCACTGAAAAAAGCTGACTTGTAACCAGTCCTCACACTTACAACTGTTACAGCCTCCCCATGGTCACAAGATCAAAATTCAGGTGCTTGGCACCCAGCATATTCTACCATGTTTGCAGCATCCCGTAGTATATGTGATCTCCACTTGCGACCTTCCCAGCTAGCTTCTGGCAAGCAACATCAATGGGGGAAGCCAGATTTACTTAATAATGACATAATTCACATAACAACCACAGGGCAGGGATGAAAGGCTACCAATTTTGGTCGGTTCACCTGAATCGGTAGTAAAAAACACACACAAAAAAAGGGGGGGGACACTTTCCGAAGATCACATGTACCACAGCTGAGCTTAGGAACTTAAAAAAAAAACTTTTAAAGTATTTTTTTTAACTAC